ATTAAAAAGTCAAGATTTTATAAAAAATCAGTTAAAAAGTTTTTTGTAAAATAAAATTAGTTTTTATCCCACTGTGCGCACAAATTTGTAAAGCTTTTTTCTTATAAAAAAATATCTAATAATTTATTAAAAACTCATTTATCCTTTTCTTTTGTAAAAAAAAATCATTTTTTATTCCACAGTGCGCCAAAATTTGCGAGGTATTTTTTTAATAAATCAAAAAAAAAAAAAAAATTATCAAAAACCTACCAAAACAAAAATTATTATCCCTTTTGCAATATACACATGTAAAACCACTTTTCGCCCACCGTGTGCCATTTTCATAGACCTAACCACCTTTACTATCATTTTCGCGCCCAATACCCCTCTCTGTGCCGGGTGGTTGCTCTTCAAATGCATTCTTCAACAATTACAARCAACTATTTCGCCATTATCTCTAAGCTCAGGCGCATAATTCACGCTCAGAAGAAGCCACGATCAACACGAAATAAACGCTGCCGCCCGACACATTTGTTGCACAACAGAAGGAAAGTTGGGTGGGTGGCGAGTTTGGCGAGGAAWTAAGATTTATAAATATGACGCACAAAAGGCGAGTGCAATCCCTGGTATTTGTATTTAATTATTTTTAAATTAGACGAACTGCAGCAACCAGCAGCGGCCGATTTGAAGGGCTGCACAACAACGACAAACAAAGGACTTGCTCTCGCTCCTGCCTGATGCTCTCAAGYACTCAAGTACATATTGGCAACAAATGTTTGTTTGTTCGCCTGTCTGTTTGTTTATTTATCTCTCGTGTAAGCAAATATTACTTATTTGTGTTTCTAGATACATATGTACATTCAATGATGAGTTCAACCCTCATACGGAGARAAGGTAAAAAGGTTGATGCACACGCGTCCAACGAAATTGCGCCAGCTTGCTTTGGCCGCCACTGTTATTCGACACTTGTGGTTTTATGGCTAATCACTCAACTAACTTTCGAGTTTTCGAGACCCGTCAGTACATGCATAACTACTTGTTAGTGGCACATCTAGTGCATATGGCACAATTTCTAAATTTCAAAAACACGAAAAAAATACAAACAAGTCCTTGCTGTCATATCCTTTGTCTTTAGTTAGCACCTTGCTGCTGCTTTTCGCCCTATGCCAGCAGCTAAGCGTTGACCCTCGCTGCCATCAATCGTTTTTTGACAGCTCTCTTAATAAGCGTACATATGTATATACATATGCATGTAATGTATGTACTTACAATGACAGATCCTTTGCCATTCTGTTGTGTCAACTTCTGTGGAGAAAGTCCATATTATGTCAGCGTGTAGTTTCTGGCGCTTATCACTGCATCAAACAACAAACAATGCTCGCGCCCAACTTAGAAGGCTCTGTCTGTCTATATACATATATATGTATGCAAATGTAAATATGTACATACATACATATATTTATTTGTTCAAATGCTTATTGCCTATCTACCGCAATTAACTGTTAGCCTAACGTAATTAGCGGTTTCAACAAATAAAATATCAGACAACATCGGTTTTGTTCGCATATTGYCATGTGCCCGAGCGACTGATTACAATGCTGACTAAATAAGTAATGTTCTTCATTACTCATATGTAATTCTTACTATGTAAGTAAGTAATGATTACTTGTTTTTTATATTTATGACAATTTGYTATGCATTGACTATTACTATTTACATATCAGAATCTAGAACCATTGCTGGCCTTTTAGGAACATCCAGCTTTCGAAGTAATTACTCGCCAAAAAATATTTTGAAAAATGTTTGTGTGATTTTGGCGAAACTTTCTATTGGTAAACATTTTTTGTGATTTTCGAAAACCTTTTTTATTGAAAAATGTTAAAAAATATTGAAAATACATTTCAGTTTTAAAAACTATTTCGGAATTATCCAAAAAACAAATATTAAAAAATCTTTTGCAAATTTTATAAAAAACAAATTTAAAAAACTTTTTTGAAATTTTCAAAAATTATTTTTGCATGAAAAAATTTTTAAAAAAATTTTCTCGTTTGCAAATTATTAGAAAATATTGAAAATCCTCTTAAATTCTATCTTATTCGAAAATATCGACTTGATTTTTKAAATAATATCACATTGAAACTTATGTAATTTTCGAAATAGTTTGATATTTGAAAAATATTTTGGAAACTTTGAAAACTGTTCAAACATAAGTAGTTGGAAAGCAATTAAGAAAAAAAAACTTTTTTGGAGAAAAAAGTGCTCGAATCCAGCATCTCATTTGAAAATCTTTTAGATATTTTTCAAAACTTTTCAAAAATCGAAAACTTCGAAATTTTAAAAACAAATTTATAAATAAAAAAATATTATGCAATAATTTTACGATTTTTTTCAGAAAATTTCTTTATTGAAAAATTTTGAGAGCTGAAAATTAATTCCAAAATAGCAGAAAAGTTTAAAAGAAACCTCTAAAAACTATAAAACTAATTCATATACATATTTAAAAAAATTGTCAAAACAAGATTTGATTTTTAAAGCCTCTTTTAAAATATCTGAAAATCAAAAAAAAAAATTTTTTAAATTTTAATAGTATTTTTGAAAATTTTTAAAAACAACAAACAAAACAAAAGAATACTAAAAACAAGTTTCTCATCTGACAAAGGCTTAGATATCTGTGATATTCCTTCAAAAATGTCTACAAATGAATTGGAAAATATCAAAAAAATTCGAATATGTATTTCAAAATTTTTAGAAAAAAAAAATATAATGCAAAAATTTCAAAAGTTGCTACAAAGAAATTTCTCAATTAAAAACTTTGCTAGCTGAACGTTAATATAAAAATAGCGGAAAAGTTTAAAATATTTTTGCAAACCTTTAAAAACAATCAAAAATAATTCACAAAAATCAAAAAAAAAAAATTGGTCAAAACATGTTTCTTAACTGAAAAATGTTTAGGTTCCTTTGACAACTTTTCAAAAATATTTGAAAAACAATTAGAAAATAGCTAAAATGTTTTAAAATACATATACATATGTATTTGAAATTTTTTTTAAGCAATTTTAAAAACTTTTGGAAGTGTGTAAAACCTCTTTAAGAATATTTGAAAATAAATTCGAAAATATAAAATTTTTTTTAAATATGTATATTTGAAGATTTATTAAAAATATTTTTGAAATATTTTTAAAAACTGTTTAATTTCTCTTAAAAATATTTASAATCATATTTATTATGTTTAACGGTCAGTAGATTCCAAGTTAACGCTATAAAACCCATTTTTCCGAAAATACATCTTTTCCTTCCAAATGAAGCCATATAGAAGTATAAATGTCCAATTTTCCTTTGTAAACACTTTCGAAACTCACCATTATACAAATAAATGAATGCTAACATTTTTCTAGTGCTATCCTTACAACAAATATAATAACACAATGCGCACTTGATACTGTTATTTGACAAGAACATAATATGCGCCGATAATACGAAATACACTGACCTTATTTTTAGTAAGAAAATGAATAAATACATATATWTTTACTAAAATAAATGCACACAGCCATATACATGTTTGTACTCAACCTAACCTCTACAAGTGTATGTCTCGTGCACTAAATAAATATTGACCACACACGGCCAACACTGTTGATGACGTACTTAAGTTTTGTGAGTGTATATATACATATGTATATGTGTTTATATGACTGTGTGTGTGAGATACCTTTCGTCATTTGTGAGTGACCACAGTGTCACCCTCTTCACACTTGCTTGCTGATCTTTTTCCCTCACTTGTCTCCTAATAAAGTTGTACTCCATCTAACACCACTGCCTGTGTATGTAGGTGTATGTTGTTGTATTTGTCGCTTGTAGTACATAATTATGCTGAAATAATTACGCTAATGACAACTTACTTTTATAAACAACRTAATTTAGTGATGTTTTTGTATTTTGCTTTTGTTTTTCTAGGCGATTATTTACGAAGGGCAAGATAAAAATCCGGAAATGTGTCGTGTACTGTTAACACACGAGGTTATGTGCAGGTAAGTGTCGATTTTATAACGGTAATATATGTGTATATATTTGACATAATTTTTCTAAGAGTGGTAGACTCTCGGGAAATAATATAGAGAACTTTAACATTAGTGGACCGATAATTTCTTCGAAAATGTATAAAAAATATGCGGTCTCCATAAAATTTTGCTTCTTTAGAGTTCGAATGGACTCCTAATATAATATGATTTCCGCAGCCTTTTTTATCTATTAGCTGACCTCAGCCGACAGGAACTTACACCTCTATAGAGCTTGAATGGACTCCGAATAAGATTCCACTGTCCTTTTTACCTACTAACTAAACTCGATCGAAAGGTCTTTRTTACGAAACTTTCTGAAAACACACAGAGTCCTCGTCAACTTGTCGAATGAACCGTAGTTCGAAAGCCTCTTGGTGACTTCCATTATTCTCAACATAACCTTAATTCGAAGTCGACTATGGACACCTAAAAAGATTTCCACTGCCTTATTGCTTTTTTTTTTTACTTACTGACTCAACTCAACCGAGAGGACTACAAAGCTTTCAGACAACATACTGAGCCTTCGTCAACTTGTCGAACAAACCGCAGTTCGAAGGCCTCTGTCTGTAGTATTCTCAACRTAACCCTTAACCGAAATTGTCTCTCAATCACTCACGTTCATGTTAGGTATTGTCAAGTTAGGCTAGATTAAGTTGGAATGGACACAGGTTATGTGAGCTTCGCAGTTCAAGGGACTGYACGAAGTATTAAAATTAAAAATCAAGTAGTTTTTAAAGTTCACAAAATCCGTTGACTTATTGTACRGTGCCATCGGGCATTACCAAGAACTAGTAGGTATACAATGTTATGRCAGCCGACCTAACCTTACCTATTGTCAATCTTCCATATAGAAAAAGAACTATCCCCAAATATGTAATATAATTTCAGGGTTTAGTTAAGTCAGTCGAAGCTCTGATTATGCATACCCGACTGTCCTGTAAACATCAAAGCTTTAGACAATGACARATCTCAACCTTAACCTCTTCTCAAACCTCAAATTTTTTAGGCACAAATTCGGATTTGGTTAAGACGGTCCAAGGTCTGATTAAGTCGTGTAAACATCAGAGCTTTTGACAATGACAGACCTCAACCTCAATCCCCATTAAAACCTCAAATTTCTTTTCCATGTATTCTAACAGAGCCGAAACGTTGTGTTGATTCCTTGGAGTAGTAACTTTCCTATTCTGGAGACCAAATTTCTCAATTAACATATAATAGTTCGTAGTAAAAAGTTTRATATCTGTCTTCTGAGCCACTACATTCAGTACTACATAAGTTTCCGAGAAAGAACGGCATTAAAGTTCTAGAAACTCTACTGTTGTGGAAACAGCAGAGTTTTGGASAATGACAGATCTCAACCTCAACGTTGTTTTTTCGTTGATAAATATTATGACTGTGCCTAAATATGAAGTTGAAACCTGAGAGTAGAATCCTTAGTATTTCAAAGACCAAATTTCTCAGTTACCATATAGTTCTTTGTAARAAAATTAATTGCTGTCTTCTGAGTCCCAAAGCTTAGTACTAGCCATGACTAAGATGTCATAGRTTACTTAATAGGTTATTTTATTGGAAAGCTTATCATTGTCAGAAATTTTGTTTCKTCGGGGATGAAATAAGACGACAAATATCTATATATTAACGGGTTACACTAAAAAATTAMCAAATCTCGGCTGTATTCACGAAGATAGTTTTAATATGAAGATTAACTCGAAGAAGATCATATTTAAACGAGGAAATGTGTCTAGTCACTATAGTTTTTGGACAAAATTTTTCTTGTGAGCAGAGTCTAGAYTGGTGAAGACAAAGGCTATAACCGCGTAAGCAGTGTATACGCCAATAAAGAAGTAAAGAAGAAACGAGGACTATTATTTGGTCCAAGTGAAACTYCTCAGGTCGGCAGAGAACATCAGCGTTGCCTCTTTTGGTTTTATAATCCATAGTAACTTAACTGATTTTAAAAAATTCTAATTTTCAAATATCAACTGATCACTTTAGTCACGAAATTTTACATTTTTAAGACCCTTAGAACTTTTCGCTGCATATCTTTAGGCRCATTTGCATTTATTTTCAAAACGTTGGCATAGATATTATATTATTCTCTTACATCAAACGAAGCGTATAATTTACAAAATTACCACAAATCAGCGGCAAAAAAAAAACATGAGAATTGGCACTCTTCAACCAGCTCCTTAGAAAATGCCAAGTGTCATTGATAAATGATACAAACACGTTTGTAGCGCCCTCCAGCAGGCACTGCGCAAAAAAAAAATAAACATTTCATATTCAAATATTTATGCAAATATGTGTGTGGAAGTATGCAAAGTTGGTGGTGCCTAACGAAATTTCGTGTTCATTGATGAACTGCGCTTCGAACATAATAGGCCACACAGACACAGTTACTTACGTATTTGTTCACGAATACACACATACGCGTRCCTTTACGAATATATGGAAATATTTTGCAAGGTATGCTTTACTTTGAAATCCTRCTAGCCGCCCAAAGAGTCAAAAGGCAGTAAATTTTGTTCAAAAGATTAGTGTATTGTACTTTCCCATACAATTGCATGTGTGTATGTATGTAYGTGTGTTTGCACCATGTAACAGTCTATTTTTGTTGGTTTGCCAATAATCTTTGTTGAAAATTCAAAGTATTTCACTACATATTTTCCAGCTGAGCTGCAGTTTCAAATGCAATTCGCACAGTTTGCCGGTAATGTACACAGTGTTTCGAATCTCGAAAATTAATATCGGGTTACCGTAGACTTTTATTATTGGAAAGACATTTTTTTTAACAATTTCTTTACATTGATTTTTTGCATATCGAAAATCCCGTAATAAATCCAAATTTATATTTTCGGGACCCTCGTTTTTGAAAATCAAAAATCCCGAAATTCCGAATTTCTACAAAAAGCCTTCTTTCTGTGTAATAAATCTAAAATTGTGTTTTAAAAAATTTTGAAAATTTTCGGGATCCCATTTGTTTGCTACAAAAATCCCGAAATGTCGACTTTCAAAAAACGTATTTTTCTAAAAAAAAATATGTAAAATTATATTTAAAAAAAGTTAAAATTTTCGGGTTTCCTTTGTTTGCGTCCCGAAAACTCCGAAATCCCGAAATTACACATTTCCTTAAAACAATTATTCTGTGTGATAAACGTAAAATTAAGAAATGTTAGGTATACTTATAMAAGATTTTGACATCCCTCGCGTAAAAATTCCGAAATCTCGAAGTTCAATTTTCTTATACCAGTTTCTTCTATGCCTGCCAATAGTTCAACGCTTTGTGTSGTTTATACATACTAATGTCTGTATGTTTGCTTGATTTTTCCTACTATAATCCCTTGTTGCAGAATCACWATTCCCCAGAGCTTACAAACTCAGCTTTTCGCCTTTGTGTAGCTTTCTTCTCCTATTTACTCTTTTTTTTTCTATTACAATGCATTTTTTTCGAACTTYTTTCCTTCTTCAACATTTTCTATAATTTTTTTTTGCTACTCCTAACCCAAAAGTATAACATTAAATTAGATGTTTCATCACTAGCTAAGTCCAACTAATGTTAACGCTCTCCTTCGGCCTATATTTTGTTTTTTGTTGTCTTGCACTCTTTTATGCCTTAGGCTTAAAATATTAGCTTTTCACAATCTTTCAATCCATTTATTTACTTTTTTTTTATGAATTCAATCATCGCCTTGWCGCATTTCCAACATTTCCTTTTCTCTCTCTCACTCTCATTCTCTGCCGTTTTCGCGCCCGCTCTTGAGCTTTAAGGTTAGCATAATTTTACAATGAGCTTCTTCAATTGCCTCATCTTATTATTTCGTCGTAATAAATTCGTCTTGAATTGAGTTAAAAATAAGCTAGTGAAGACTGCTTGAGTGGAGCTTCTTTGCGTAGACAGACACAAGTTTCAGTCATAAAAAGCTTTCTTTAACACCAACCACTTGGTTAACCGTTTCGAGTGGCCATTATTATGAGMCAAACGCCCAGCGAAATTGCGTGTGTGTGTGGCACTTCAACACCTATACAAATAAAGGGATGTGTCGGACAAAGGGATGTCCAACGGAGCATAACCTAATCGAGTGCTTGTAGCATAGGCAGCAAGAGAAGTGGGCTGAGATGGGTGAAATGGTCTGGTACGTAAGTTGTGTGGGTGGTTGTTGGGCTAGCGGTGATTGTGGGTGGTTRTCAGGGGCAGTGAGGCAGCGTGCTGTCGAATCATCAGTTGCAATGATATAAAGCAAACAACAATGGCGTCTTTATCGTTTGGCATTTCGCCCATTTTATATGCGCGCTGCGGACTAAGTGAGACTCTGTAGAGATTTTGTATTGTGAATTAAATTTTGTTACTGTTTGTTAAATTATTTCTAGGTGAAAAAAAATGTAAATTGGTTTGGTTAGACTTTTTTTTGCGACTGGTTGTATTTTTTCTAGTTGTGAACTAGTTTTATTCAAACTAGTTTATAACCAGTTATATTCGAACTAGTTTACAACTAGTTACATTCAACCAAGTTTAAAACTAATTATATTCAAACTAGTTTTATTCAAATCAGTTTACAATTAGTTGCCTTAAAAAAAGTGCCGTTAATTTTGGCAGATGATACATAATATTTTTAAACAACAAAAATTTATTTTTGTGGCAGTCTATGTCCTACAGAATACCTTTTACCGCACAATTCATACACCAACAAAATCRAGCACCTGTCTTTGCTTCTATGGCAGTCAATTGTTGCTGATAAACTGCAGCCCAAACTTGCCTACTCTCCCACATTTGTCCATAGCTCCTTCTGAACACATTACAATAACAACAATCATGTTGTAAGCATAGAAAAAAATAAATATTCCACAAGTTTCATTTTGYCTATTCTGCGTATCGTGAAATTGCCTGAACGATTATGGTGATGGCGGCGACGGCGCATTGTTGACTTTGCACCGACTCTAACGGTGTTCATATGCATGTACATACGTATATATGTAAATAAGTTTTGTATATTAAAGAAGCACCTTTACATATACTATAATCATATTTACATAAAACAAGCCGTAAAGCTTTTGTACAAATTTGGTCAATTGTTGGAAGTAACGGTATGATAATGAGAAAATTTTGGGTTGAGGAAAATATATTTTTGGACAGCAAACACAATAAACTCAAAAAACAAAAATATATAATTAAAATCAAAATAAATTTAAAAACTTTAAAAATATTATTTTATGTA